ATTGGATGCCGATCGTACGGCTGAGAATCCAACTCGGCAGCAGTCAACGCCACCGAGTCGCGCACGCAGACATCGAAACGCTTCCCTCCACCCAGTGTCAGGATTGGCCCCGCAGCGACCGCGCTATTTTTCGCCGGTAGAGCTAGCGGAGATGGGGGATAAATTCGCCGACATAGCGAACTGGGACATCTCCGCCCTCTGCGATAGTCGCCAACCGCCGCTGTCAAGACGATTACCGCCTAACTTGTGCCAGTTATTCTCGCTGGCACTCCTGACCCCGCTACTTCACCTTTCGCGAAACCCTGACTCCGAAGCGGGTTGGAAGCTGCTTCTCTTCCTCCCGCGTCTGACCCTTCGCCACGCTTCGCCAAAGCACCCAAATTGGCCACAAATCAAGGCCCGTCTTTGGGCATTCCAGCGAGGCGAGTGGTCACAGCTCTACCAGGAGGCGATAAACGCGGTCAACGCCCCTTCGCCCCCACGTCACCAACCCGATGTGACAGGTGTCCTGAGCAAAGCCGAGGGGTTGGCGAAACGTGGCAGTCTGCGTCGAGCCGTGTTGGCGCTCGAGTCAACACCCGTCTGTACACCGAGCCCAGAAATTCTGGACGAACTGCGACAAAAGCATCCACCGGCGGGAGACGACCAGCTGACCTGGCAGTCAGCCGATGCTAAGCCCCTGTGCATTTCCCACGCAGAATTTGCGAAGCTCCTTGGGAGATGCGAGAATGGTGTTGGTGCCGGACCGTCTGGCACAACATTTGAGCACCTGCGCGACGCGGCAATAACCAATGCATCCGTCAGCACCCATCTGCACGCCCTCGTGAATACAATTCTGGGGGGCAATCTCCCAGCTTCGGTCGCGGACCTGCTTACTGCGTCCCGACTCATCGCCCTGGCCAAACCTGGGGGGGGGGCCCGACCAATCGCAATCGGAGAATGCCTGACTCGGCTGGCTGCCAAAGCTGCTCTCTTGGTCATGGGGGAGGCCGCACGCGACTTCTTCCTTCCCCTACAGTATGGAGTGGCGGTACCTGGTGGGGCGGAAGCGATAATCCACGCCGCCCGAACGTACGTGGACTGCCACCCAAACAGCCTGGTACTACAGACCGACATCGCGAATGCTTTCAACAGCATTTCGCGACAATCCATCGCAGCGGCTTTACAGGAGCCAACTCTATCGCCACTACTCCCACTGGTTCGACTCACCTACGGTAACCCGTCGCAACTCTACATGGACTCGACCTTCGCGAGCGGACCCCTACGCAGCGAACGTAGCGTTCGCCAGGGCGACCCACTCGGCCCGCTACTGTTTGCGGCGGGAATACACCCTACACTTCGTGACACTGCAGCAGCTCACCCAGGGGTGCTTTGCTTGGCCTATGCCGACGACGTGACATTCGTGGGTGCACGAAGTGCCACTGTAGCCGCGTTCAACCACTTCACCTCCAAACTGGAATCACTAGGCCTGAAGCACAACCCGCAGAAATGCACGGCATGGAGCGCCACTGCGTGCGACTCTGCTGGGTTGCCTCCAGGGGTGCCGTTCTGCACGGACGGCATCCGCTTGCTTGGGAGTTTTCTGGGGGCGGCCAACGGCGCAGCTTCTTTCTTAGAGGGCCAGCTGAAGGACCTGGCGAAACCCTTACACCTCATCGAGCGGGCAGACCCTCAGGTGGCCTCGCTGCTGATCACACGCTGCATCTCTCGGCGCGTGTCCTACCTAACTCGAACAACTCCTCTCAACCTTGTTTCCCGAGACACTTGGACGGAGTGGGGTCGTGACCTCCTCCTGGCACTCCTTACCTCGTGCAGCATTCATGTGCCGGCGGGTAGAGCGGAACAGGCACGCGTCTGGGCGCAGGCCTCCTTGCCCCCCTCTCTAGGAGGAATAGGTGTTACTGACCCCCTCGTTGAGGGAGTGTACGGTTTCGTCGCAAGCTTCACGCAGGCGGCTCTGCTTTTCTCTACGCTCGCGCTAGATCCGGACACCGCTCTCTCCCACGCGCGCTGCCATATGCTACGGCCCACGGATGAAAACACACCGCTTCGCTCCTGGCTCACAAAGTGCGAGTCCGCCCTGCCTTCGGATTCGCGAGAGCTGCTGGAACGGGAACGACTTAAGCGGACAGATGTCAAACTACAGCACGCCCTTGCCCTACAGGTTCACGGTAGCCGCTACGCCGTGCAAGTACAGGCAACGAGGGACATGGAACTGAATCCGCTAGCAGGCCATACGCAGCGGATGTTCTCCCTAACTGGCTATGGCACAGGGGACTGGCTGACAGCCATCCCTATAGAAGCAACCAGACGCCTAGGCCCAGTACACTTCGCAAATGCCGTCAGATTCAGGCTCGGGCTGCCCTTCTCCACCCCGAAAAACTGTGACTGCTCTGATCACACCGAAATCCTAGACCCCCGCCTCCCGAATCACCTCCTACGCTGCGGCACCGGCAGGCATCGCATCAACACCCACAACGAGCTCCGAGATGCCTGCATTAGTATGGCACAGGATGCGGGGTTTATCGTCCACAGGGAGTCGGCTGCCCACTGCCCTGTCGAGGAACAGACAGCCGACTTCACCATGTCCGATAGGAGCAGTGGGGCGGTCTGGGTGTGCGACGTAACTGTGACAGACCCCATCAGTACCCGGGACCCACAGGCACGGAAAGGGAGGGGATGGGCGGCTAGGGAACAGGCAGATAAGAAAATTCAGCACTATGCAAACAGGCCAGAGACAGTCGGCTTCTTTCCACTGGCAGTGGAGACCTACGGTTGCCCATGTGCAGAGGTCCCCGTCTTCCTCAAACTGCTGGCAGACACCGCGGCTCGGCGCCACTTCAACGCCGACTCTAACTCCTATCATGCCGCCAAGTTTCTGCACCAGTTCAGGCAGCGGTGGTCGGTTGCCCTTCAGAGGGCGCAGTCAGTGGGCCTGCTTATGAAACTGGGTGAGGCTGCAGCAGCTGAGAACCCTCCGGTAGGGGGTATTGGGCATGAGCTACACCTAGGGGACTGCTTTGCTGTTTTGGAACCACTGGTGGAACTCTAGAGGGATTAGTCAGAATCTCACATGCTTCTCGAACTATATGTCTGTACCTTTCTGCCATATCAATATACGGACCATTAGAGAGAGAGAGAGACCGTCTGCCCTATCACACTGTAGGAAAAGCTGCAGGTCATCTACGCAGACGTCAAAGTCAATGGCCCGACCCTCAGCGTCAAAAGTGAGGACACTAGGTGTAGCCATGACAACAGTAGACTAGCAGCTCAAATAGTAGGGTAAGGGCAGTGCAGTGACAGAGGTGCTGCTCTTTCCGGACAGGCGGCTCGGACGGCTCGTCGGCTCGGCGGCTCGGCAACTCGGCGGCTCGGGCGGCTAGGGCGGCTCGGTGGTACGGCGGCTCGGCAACAACTACAGCTCGGCGGCTCGGGCGGCTCGGCGGCTCGGGCGGCGCGGGCGACTCGGCAGCTCGGGCGGCTCGACGTGGTGCGGCGGCTCGGGCGGCTCGGGTGGCGGGCGGCTCGGCAGCAGGCGACGGCGCCGGCGGCTCGGTGGTGACGGCGGGGCCGCGTGGGGACGGCAGCGGGGCCGGCAGAGGCGGCGCCAGGGCCGCACAGGTAGGCGACGAGGCCGGGAAGGGTAGCGCCGGGGCCGCAGGTAGGCGACGGGGCCAGTAAGGGCGGGGCCGGGTCGGGAAGGGCGGCGCCGGAGCCGCAAGGTAGGCGACGGGGCCGCAGGGTAGGCGATGGGGCCGCAGGGTAGGCGACGGGGCTGCAGGGTAGGCGCCGGGGCCGCAGGGTAGGCGACGGGGCCGCAGGGTAAGTGATGGGGCTGCAGGGTAGGCGACGGGGCCGCAGCGTAGGCGCCGGGGCCGCAGGGTAGGCGACGGGGCCGCAGGTAGGCGACGGGGCTAGCAAGGGCGGGGCCGGGTCGGGAAGGGCGGCGCGAGGGCCGCGGGGTAGGCGACGGGGTCGCAGGGCGGCGGATTGGGGCCAGGAAGGGCGGCGCCAGGGCCGCAGGGTAGGCGACGGGGCCGCTAGGGCGGCGGATCGGGCCGTCAAGGGCGGCGCCGGGGCCGCAGAGGTAGGCGACGGGTCGCTAGGGCAGCGGATCGGGGCCGCAAGGGCGGCGCGACACAGCCGCTAGGGCGGCGCGATACAGCCGCTAGGGCGGCGCGACAGGGTCGAGAAAGGGGAGCGCGACTCGGGCAAAGGCTGAACGCGCTCCGGGCAGGAAAAAAAAATCGAATCGGTGGGCCCTAGGAACAGTTCCCATGAGGGAACTATGAAACAGTTGGGTACAAGTACTAACCCAAATTGGGTTGTACCCCTTATGGGCTACACAACTACAGCCTACACAAATGCATAAGCTATAATGTTCTGACAAACAGTTGTAAAACGGTTTTTACCCTTGAGAAAACGGAATAACCGTTTTGTACATGCGTCGAAATCATTCCGCAAAGCGGTGTGACTTTCGTGCGCAATTTCTTGTTCCAAGAGTCAACTCCGAAAAACAGTTTTTCAACTGTAAATTCCGAGCACCCTTGGGAACCCCGAAGAACCCACTCGAAACAGACCCGCATCCCTCAGGTGCTCAATCATGCACGACCACACAAACTGGTCATGCTGTACTACGCGTGGGCAGGGCGATCATTCGCCCTGTCCTATTGTGATTGTGGGTCCTGCCATGCTCTCAACAGCATAATAGAGCTCAGCGGATGAAAATTGCCGCCCATTTTTGCAGTTCAGAACGGACAACCTCCCTCCTCGGGGTTGACGACCCCACGACAACCTCCGTGTGGAAAGCCCAGGCTATCTGGCTGGGCCCGGTGCTGGTGAGCCCTCGGGATGGTCGACGACCTGTCGACCTAGGGTTCCGCTGAGACAATCCCGAGAAGGACTGCGATGATCGGTCGGGTGTCAGAATCCCAGCTCGGCAAGTCGGGCTGCGATGATCGCCACGTGGCCACAAAGGGACGCCCGAGATAGTCCCCTGGATGGCGGGGCCACCGAGGTCTGCCAGGTTGGACACGACGGGCCAATGGAAGGTCGGGGTGCTTCGTGTCAGAACATTATAGCTTATGCATATTGTGTAGGCTATAGTGGGGTAGCCCATAAGGGGTACAACCCAATTAGGGTTAGTACTTGTACCCAACTCTTTCATAGTTGACTCATTCTCGTTTCAGTTTTCTCATGGTATCGAGCAGGTTCCCTCGTGGGAACTGTTCCTAGGGCCCACCAACTCGATATTTTTTTTCTCTGCCCGGAGCGCGCTCAGCCCTAGCCCGAGTCGCGCTCCCCTATCTCGACCCAGTCGCGCCGCCCTACCGGCCCCGTCGCCTGCCTTGCGGCCCTCGCGCCGCCCTTCCTGGCCCTGACCCGCCGCCCTACGGCCTCGTCGCCTACCCCACGGCCATCGCGCCGCCCTTTCCCGGCCCCGATCCGCCGCCCTGCGGCCTCGTAGCCTACCCCACGGCCCCCGCGCCGCCCTGCGGCCCTGACGCCACCCTTACCGGCCCCGGCGCCTACCTGCGGCCCCGGCGCCTACCTGCTGGCCGGGCGCCTACCTGCGGCCCCGACACCTACCTGTGCGGCCCCGACGCCTACCTGTGCAGCCCCGGCGCCTACCTGCTGGCCCTGCCACCTACCTGCGGCCCCGCCACCTACCTGCGGCCCCGCCACCTACCTGCGGCCCCGGCGCCTACCTGCGGCCCCGATACCTACCTGTGCAGCCCCGGCGCCTACCTGCGGCCCCACCACCTACCTGCGGCCCCGGCGCCTACCTGCGGCCCCAGTGCCTACTTGCGGCCCCGGCGCTCCCCGTCCCGTCCCGTCGCCTACCTGTGCGGCCCCGACGCCGCCTCTACCGGCCTCGGCGCCGTCCCCACACGGCCCCCCGCCGTCACCACTACGGCGCGGGCGCCGTCGCCTGCTGCAGCGCCGCCCTCCACCCGACCACCGCTCGAGCCGCCACACCCTGCCGAGCAGCCGGCCGCCGAGCCGCCCTGCAGCCGAGCCGCCGAGCCGCCCTGCAGCCGAGCTACCGAGCCGCCCAACCGCCCTGCAGCCGAGCCGCCAAGCCGCCTAGCAGCAGAGCAGCTGAGCCGCCGAGCCGCCGAGCCGCCCAGCAGCCGAGCAGCCGAGGCGTCGAGCCGCCCAGCAGCCGAGCCGCCGAGTCGCCCTGCACCCGACCCGCCTGCGCCGCCGAGCCGCCCTGTTTGGTAAGAGCAGCGCTTCTATCACTGCACTGCCCTTACCCCACTGTCCGCGCTGCTAGTCTACTGCTGTCATGGCTACCCCTAGTGTCCTCACTTTTGACGCTGAGGGTCGGGCCATTGACTTTGACGTCTGGGTAAATGACCTGCAGCTTTTCTTACAGTGCGATAGGGCAGACGATCTCTCCCTCTTTGACCTCACTTCTGGTGCATCTCCTGCCCCCGCTGCTGATGCTAACGCCACTGTTCGCTCACAGTGGGCCACGCGCGATGCTGCTGCACGTCTTGCTGTGCGTCGCCACCTGCCTACCTCTGAGCGTGCGCACTTTAGCTAGTACAAGAGTGCTCAGACCTTGTACGACGCTGTAGTTGCACACTACTCCTCCCCTGCCACTCCTGCACTGAGCCGCCCATGCTACCGTACCTCTTCCCTGACCTTGCTGCCTTCCTCACAGTTGCTGACCTCATTACGCACCTCCGCACTAGTGACACTCGCTACCGCGCTGCGCTTCCTGCTGAGTTCTGCGCCAAGAACCCCCCCCCCCCCCCCCCCCCCCACGTACATCACCCTCTACTACATAGTCACCCGGCTCCCTGACTCCCTTCGTGTAGTCAGGGACCACTTCCTCTCAGTTTGCCCCACCACTCTCACCGTTGACCTCCTCGAGAAGGCCCTCCTAGCAGCTGAGAAGAGCATAGTCGCTGTAGGAGCCTCTCGTGGTGACCCTCGCACTCCCATCTTTGAGGGGTGTTCCCCCTCCCCTCTTTTGCCCTCTGTTGCCTCTGCTGCTGCGGCTGACCTTGTTGGTCTAGAGTCGGTCGGTGCGGCGTCTACCCCTAGCGGGAAGCGTCGCTCTGGCAAGGGCAAGGGGGGCAGGGGCGCTGGAGGAGCTAGCGGTGGCGGTATAAGCGGCGGTGGAGGCAGTGGAGGGAGTGGGGGTGGTGGTGGGAGTGGTGGCGGGGGTGGAGGTGTCAGCGGCGGCAGTTAGTGTCTGAGGGTGACTGTTACCGGTGTTTCCCGCCCGTCCAGGGCATTGAGACCACTGCTCTAGGTGCTGGTGAGGTTGCTGCTCTTGGTGCTAGCGAGGCTGCTGCTCTAGGTGCTAGTGCGTCTGCTTCCTCCGGTGCTGGTGAGTCTGCGCTCTCAAGTACTGCGTCGGCTTCGGCCTCCGACTCGGGGGATTCTTGCTCCTTCTTTCGAGACCGCACCACACTCACGCCGCTTGGTCGGCCAGTTGCAGTCTCCTTGGCAGAACCCTCTGGGGGTCCTGTCCTTGCTCACTTCTCCACTGTCCTCCCGTGTTCGGCGGCCCCCTCTGGCACCCTGTCCGGTCTTTACCTCCCCTCGTTCTCTACGAACTTGGTGAGTGGTGCTGACCTACAGGATGCGGGGGCTCACCAGTTCACTCCTGAGAGTCAGCGGGTGACCCACTGCACGGACGCTCGGACAGGCCGACACCTGGCCACGTTTACACGTCGGCCGGGGTCGAGCCTGTACACACTGACCATTGCGTCTCCTTGAGTCACTGCGTCTAGTTAGGTAGCTGCGTCAGGTCAGGTGTTTGCTGCAGCGTCCAGGTCTGGTCCTGAGTCTGCCCCGTGCTCATTTCGCCTCCTGTCTCACGAGACTCTCCTCTGGCACCACCGCCTTGGTCACCCCTCCCTGCTTCGTCTCCAAAGCATGGCCTCCCGTGTCCTTGTCTCTGGTCTTCCCCAGTCCCTCGCTCCCCTTCCTCCGGGGCCTGGCCCTACCTGCGTCTCCTGTGTCGAGGGGCGGCAGCACGCTGCTCCTCACTCCTCCCAGTTTCCTCCGACAGAGGCCCCGCTGCAGACGCTTCACATGGACGTGTGGGGCCCGGCCCACGTCCGTGGACATGGTCACGAGCGCTACTTCCTGCTGGTGGTTGACGACTACTCGCGTTACACCACAGTCCTCCCCTTGCACAGCAAGGGTGATGTCACTGCGGTGTTGATCGACTGGATCCGCGCAGCTCGTCTCCAGCTCAGGCGGAGCTTCGGCTGGGACTTTCCTGTTCTGCGTCTGCACTCTGACAGAGGCGGAGAGTTCTCCTCTGGCCTTCTGCGAGCCTACTGTCGTGAATGAGGCATCCGCCAGACCTTCACGCTTCCGGACTCTCCACAGCAAAATGGGATTGCAGAGCGCCGCATTGGCATGGTCATGGACGTTGCCTGTACGTCCATGATGCATGCAGCTGCCCCCCATATTCTGTGGCCGTTTGCAGTCCGGTACGCTGCGCATCAGATCAACCTTCAGCCCAGGGTGTCCATGCCGGAGACCTCCCCAGCTTTGCTGTGGACGGGGAAGGTTGGCGATGCGTCTGCGTTCCGTGTCTGAAGATCTTGGGCGTTTGTCCGCGACTTGTCTGCTGACAAGCTTTCCCCTCGTGCTGCTCCTTGCGTCTTCCTGGGTTTCCCCCGTGACGCGCCAGGGTGGCAGTTCTACCACCCCACCTCTCGCCGTGTTCTGTCCTCCCAGGACGTCACGTTCGACGAGTCGGTCCCCTACTACCGTCTCTTCCCCTACCGCACTCCGACCCTCCCCCCGCCACCGCTCTTCCTTGTGCCAGGTCCCCCACAGGTAGATCCCCTCCCCCCTAAGGGTCCTGACCCTTCAGGTGTGTCCCAGGTAGACGCTGTTGAGCCTGTCGAGGTCACTGGTGACTCTGGTGCTGAGCGTGTGGGAGATATGCCTGGGGGTGCTGAGCCTGAGGGTACTACGACTGGGGGTGCTGAGCCTGGTAGCGCTAAGTCTGAGGGTGCTGAGCCTGGGGGTGCTATACTTGGGGGTGCTGAGCCTGGGGGTGCTGAGCCTGGGGGTGCTACGCCTGGAGGTGCTGAGCGTGAGGGAGCTGAGCCTGCTAGTGCTATGTCTGGCGGTTCTCCGGGTACTTCGTCTCGCTCGGAGCCACTCTCTCCACAGGAGCTGCGTGAGTGGTTTGCCCGGCGCTGGAGGCGTGCTGCTAGAGCTGGAGGTTCTACTGCTTTTGAGGGTGCTGGTGCCGCGGGTCCAGGAGGTGCTCGTATTGAGGGTACTGGAGCTGCTGGGCCTGCGGGTACTTCTGGAGCTGGAGCTGCTGCGGGTGTTAGCGCGGAGGCTACTGCTGTCGGTCCTGGAGGCGGTCCTGCTGCGGGTTCTACTGGTGCTGCTGGAGGTACTGGAGCTGGAGCTGGTGCTGGTGCTGGTGCTGGAGCTGGAGCTGGAGCTGGAGCTGCTGCTGGTGCTGGTGCTACCGCTGCGGGTGCTGGTGCTGTCCCTGCTGTGTCTTGAGTCGCCGCGCGGCCTCGGCCGTAATTCGTTCCTCTCCTTAAGCACGTTCTTGGTCTCCTGTCTTCTACTGGTCCTCCTCCTCCCTTAGAGTGTCCACAGCCTGTCCCGTCATAGCAACTGTTACAGCCGGCCTCCCCACTGCCTGCTCCGTCTCCCTACACTGGTCCTACTGGAGGTCTTGCTGAGCGTCGTGAGCCTGCGTCTCGCCCTGCGTCGCCTGTCTGTGCTGCTCTCACTAGTGGTCGTGGTTCGCGTCAGCGTCCTCCTCCTGTCCCTGGCACGCACCGGATGTCTCTGCGTCCGTCCACTGCTCCTCTGCGTGCTCCTTTACCTTCTCCTCCTGAGTCTTCTCTTCCTGCTCTTGCCGACCCGGAGTCGAACTCTCTTTGTGCTCCCAGTCCTACTGTCACGCGTCTCCTTGCTACTGTTGTCACTAACCCCTCCTTTGAGTCCACTGCTGCGTGTGCCCTAGTTGCTGAGCTCGTCGACTTTGCTGCTCGCTGTCGCCTAGACTACGCCGCCAGTCTTGTTTCTAAGTCTGAGTCTGTCTGTCCTCCGTCCGTCGGGGGTGAGTGTGCCCTTGGCACGGACGTCCTTGAGGACAGTCACGAGGAGTTCTAGTGCTTGGCCGCTGCTTCACCTCATCTCGTGTCCGTACTGCTTACCCCTGAGGGAGACCCGGATGCACTTGACATCCCAACTCCGCGCTCTTACGCGGAGGCGATAGAGGGTCCCTACTCCTCTCAGTGGCAGGCAGCTATGGATGCAGAGATGGCTTCCTAGAAGTCCACAGGCACCTACGTTGACGCTGTTCCCCCTCCTGGGGAGAACATCGTCAGTGGCATGTGGATTTTCAGGGTGAAGCGGCCGCCGGGTTCGCCTGTCTTCAAGGCGCGCTACGTGGCTCGTGGCTTCAGTCAGCGGCAGGGAGTTGACTACATTCAAACTTTCTCTCCCACCCCGAAGATGACCACTCTTCGGGTAGTGCTGCACGTAGCTGCTCACCGTGACTACGAGCTACACTCTCTTGACTTCAGCACTGCTTTCCTGCAGGGCAGCCTGCACGAGGAGATCTGGCTGCGCCGCCCACTTGGCTTCACTGGGACTTTTCCTCCTGGCACCCAGTGGAGCCTTCGGCGGCCAGTCTATGGTCTCCGCTAGGCGCCCCGTGAGTGGCACAATACACTGAGGACTACACTTGCGGCTCTTGGGTTTGCTCCCTCTACTGCCGACCCGTCGCTGTTTCTGCGCACCGACACTTCTCTGCCGCCGTTCTACATCCTCGTGTACGTCGACGACTTGGTCTTTGCCACAGATGACACTGCTGGACTCGCCCACGTGAAGTCCGAGCTGCAGAAGAGACACACGTGCACTGACCTGGGTGAACTGCGCAGCTACCTTGGCTTGCAGATCACTCGGGACAGAGCACATCGCACCATTACCCTGACTCAGTCACACATGGTGCAGCAGGTCCTTCTGCGCTTCGGCTTCACGTACTCCTCGCCTCAGGCCACTCCTCTGTCTACTCGCCACTCGCTCTCAGCTCTGCCTTCGGATGAGTCCGTAGAGTTGAGTGGCCCGTACGCAGAGCTTGTTGACTGCCTCATGTACCTGATGACATGCACACGACCTGACCTTGCATACCCTCTTAGCATTCTCGCACGCTATGTTGCTCCTGGGAGACACAGACCGGAGCACATGGCTGCAGCGAAGAGGGTGTTGCGCTACTTGTGCAGTACACCGGGCATGGGGCTTGTGCTTGGAGGGCAGAGTCCAGTGGTCCTCACTAGGCACGCAGACGCTTCTTGGGCTGATGACCAGGCTACGCAGCGGTCCTCACAGGGTTACACCTTCAGCCTTGGTTCCGGCTCTGTTTCGTGGCGGGCTACTCGCTCGTCTTCTGTTCTCAGCTCTAGTTGTGAGGCTTAGATCTACGCAGAAGCCATGGCTGCACAGGAGCTTCGTTGGCTCACCTACTTGCTGACTGACCTCGGAGAGCCGCTTCGTTCTCCTCCATTGCTGTACGTAGACAACAAGGCCATGCTGGCCTTGTGTCGGGAGCAGCGATTGGAGCACAGAACGAAGCACATTGCTTTCTTGCTCGTGAGCTGCAGCAGCGTGGTCAGCTGCGTCTTGCGTACGTGGCCTCTGAGGCCAACACTGCTGATATCTTCACCAAGGCGCTTGCGCCTTGTGACCATCAGCGCTTCTGTACTCAGCTGGGTCTTGTGCCTTCCTTGCCTCACTTGCTCACCTCTTGACCTTGCTTGTACTGTTACATATATATATACACACCTACTCTTGCTTGTCTAGCCTTTTTATATATATGTACTCCTGCATGTGAACTGGCCTTGTGGCCTTGAACTTGTGCTCGGAATGTGTGGTGACTTTGTGATCCACCCTGAGCTTGCTCTGCTTTGCTTTGCTTGAGTGGTCTTGTGACCCCTTGTTCTCCCCCACTTTGCCTATGGGGGTGTGTCAGAACATTATAGTTTATGCATATTGTGTAGGCTATAGTGGGGTAGCCCATAAGGGGTACAACCCAATTAGGGTTAGTACTTGTACCCAACTCTTTCATAGTTTACTCATTCTCGTTTCAGTTTTCTCACTTCACGTGGGAGATTTTTGCGCAGGAACATGGCAAGGTCGTGCATACCAACGGTTTCCCACATGCGCAAGGCAAAATCCGGCTGTCCACTATCTATGGCTGTGTGGAGTGGACACTGAGGCTACGGGAATGTTGGCGTCGACCAGAAGAGCATCATCGTGGTGCCACTTGGCAGTGTCTCCCGCCCTCGAGCTACCGCGCTGCACCTAATTCGGGACCACGCCACGTGCCGCACGAAAGAGCCAGCGTGTAGCAGCCACGAAAAGAGCATGATGAGCTAACCGCTTCAAGCAAGCAGCCATGCACGCCTGGTGGCACGTCGGACACGGCGCCGCCGCACGAGCGTACATGCATGGCGTCGTCCTGCATTGGGGTTTGCGTGGAGCGCCCAGTGGTGCGGAGTCGCTCATGTCAGAACATTATAGCTTACTTATTTGTGTAGGCTATAGTGGGGTATCCCATAGGGGGTACAACCCAATTAGGGTTTCCTATTTGTACTCACTTCGTTCATAGTCATTTCATTCACGTTTCTATTTTCACATGGAATCAGAGCAGGTCCCATCCTAGGGACTGTTCTCTAGGGCCCACCGAAGCGCGCCCCGAGGCGCGCGTTCTTTTTTCTCGCGACCCTCCGTGTCGCCCTTCCCCTCGCGGCCCCGCCGCCCTTCTCTCGGCCCCGCCGCTTTCCTCGTCGCGGCCCCGCCGCCCTCTAGTCGCGGCCCCGCTGCCCTCTAGTCGCGGCCCCGCCGCCTCCTCCTTGCGGCCCCGCCGCCCTCTAGTTGCGGCCCCGCCGCCCTCTTGTCGCGGCCCCGCCGCCTCCTCCTCGCGGCCCCGCCGCTTTCCTCGTCGCGGCCCCGCCGCTTTACTCGTCGCGGCCCCGCCGCCTCCTCGTCGCGGCCCAGCCGCTTCCTTCACGCGGCCCCGCGGCTTCCTCGTGGCGGCCCCGCCGCCTCCTCGTTGCGGCCCCGCCGCTTCCTCGTCGCGGCCCCGCCGCCTCCTCGACGCGGCCCCGCCGCCTCCTCGACGCGGCCCCGCCGCCTCCTCGACGCGGCCCCGCCGCCTACTCGACGCGGCCCCGCCGCTTCCTCTTCGCGGCCCTACCGCCGCCTTACCTGCGGCTCCCGCCGCCCTACCTGCGGCCCTGCAGCCGCCCTAACTGCGGCCCTACAGCCGCCCTACCTGCGGCCCTCTGCGGCCCTACCTGCGGCCCACCCGCCGCCCTTCCTGCGGCCGTCCCGCCGCCCTACCTGCGGCCGTCCCGCCGCCCTACCTGCGGCCCACCCGCCGCCCTACCTGCGGTCGTCCGCCGCCCTACCTGCGGCCTGCCCGCCGCCTTACCTGCGGCCCACCCGCCGCCTTATCTGCGGCCCACCCGCCGCCCTACCTTCGCGGCCCAGCCGCCCTACCTACGCGGCCCAGCACCGGCCGAGCCGCCCAGCAGCAGCCGAGTCGCCCAGGAGCCGCCGAGCCGCCCAGCAGCAGCCGAGCCGCCCAGCAGCAGCCGAGCCGCCCAGGAGCTGCCGAGCCGCCCAGCAGCAGCCGAGCCGCCCAGCAGCAGCCGAGCCGCCCGGGAGCAGCCGAGCCGCCCAGGAGCAGCCGAGCCGCCCAACAGCCGCCGAGCCGCCCTGCTACCGCACTGCCCGACCTGTCCTGTCTGGTGAGCACGGCCCCGCCCCACTGCTACTGCGTGCCCTTCCCCACTGCTTGCACTGCTAGTCTGTCGTCATGGCTACCCCCAGTGTCCTCGCTTTTGACATTGAGGGTCGAGCCATTGACTTTGAGGTCTGGGTCGACGACCTGCAGCTGTTCTTACAGTGCGATAGGGCAGACGGCCTTTCCCTCTTTGACCTTACCTCTGGCGCCTCTCCTGCCCCTGCTGCTGATGCTGACCCCACTGTTCGCTCTCAGTGGGCCACCCGCGATGCTGCTGCACGTCTTGCTGTGCGTCGCCACTTGCCCACCACTGAGCGCGCGCACTTTAGTCAGTACAAGAGTGCACAGACCTTGTACGACGCTGTAGTTGCGCGCTACTCTTCCCCTGCCACTGCTGCACTGAGCCGTCTCATGCTACCGTACCTCTTTCCTGATCTCACTGCCTTTCCCACTGTCGCTGACCTCATTACGCACCTCCGCACTAGTGACACTCGCTACCGCGCCGCCCTTCGTGCTGAGTTCTGTGCCAAGAACCCCCCCCCCCCCCCCATGTACATCGCTCTCTATTACATAGTCACTCGTCTCCCTGACTCCCTTCGCGTAGTCAGGGACCACTTCCTCTCAGTCTGTCCCACCACCCTCACTGTCGACCTCCTCGAGAAGGCCCTCCTAGCGGCGGAGAAGAGTATAGTCGCTGTAGGAGCCTCTCGTGGAGACCCGCGCACCCCCATCTTTGAGGGGTGTTCTCCTTCCCCCCTGCTGCCCTCTGTGGCCTCTGCTGCTGCTGCCGACCTGCTCGGTCTTGAGTCGGTCGGCGCGGCGTCTGCCCCTAGCGGGAGACGCCGTGCCAAGGGCAAGGGGGGCAAGGGCGCGGGTGGGGCTGGCGGGGGCGGTGGAGGTGGCGATGGAGGCGGCGGAGGGAGTGGGGGTGGCGGTGGGAGTGGTGGCGTGGGTGGTGGCGGTGGTGGCGGCAACGGCAGCGAAGGCGGTGGCGGCGGAGGCGGTGGCGGCGGAGGCGGTGGGAGCGGAGGCGGTGGTGGTGGTGGAGGTGGAGGAGGTGGTGGCGGGGGAGGTGGAGCTGGTCGGGGCAGTGCCGCGCAGCGGAGCGGCTCTGGTGGTGGTCCGCGGCAGCAGCAGCAGCAGCAGCAGCAGCAGCGTTCTCAGGACATTCCGCCGCCTCAGCAGCTCCGTGAGTGGTACGCGTAGAGTCAGCGTGGTGGAGGTTTTGGCCCGTGCACCTACGTTTTTCGCAGTGGCGACCGCGCGGGTGAGCGGTGTGGGGGTGCCCACGCCACCCGGCGCTGCTTTGGCTGCCTGACGGACGCTTGGCGTCAGCAGTTCCCTGACGCCTCTGAGATCCCCCACTGGGGAGACCTTTCTAGAGCCGGTGTAGCGATCTTTGAGCTAGACTTTGATGCTATCCTTGCTGCTATGTATGCTGTGTCTATTAGTGATGAGGGTGACTGTTACCGGATTTTCCCGCCCGACCCGGGCATTGGTACGGCTGCGCTAGGTGCCTGTGACACTGCTGCGCTCTCAGGTGCTGGTGCGGCTGCGCTCTCAGGTACCAGTGAGGCTGTGCTCTCAGGTACTGGTGAGGCTGCGCTCTCCGGTGTTGGTGAGGCTGCGCTCTCAGGTACTAGTGAGGCTGCGCTCTCAGGTACTGGTGAGGCTGCGCTCTCAGGTACCGCGTCGGCTTCGGCCTCCCTCACCTTTACACTTGACTCTGGGGCTTCTCGCTCCTTCTTTCGGGACCGCACCACACTCACGCCGCTTGGCCGGCCGGTTGCGGTCTCCCTGGCTGACCCCTCTGGGGGTCCTGTCCTCTCTCACTTCTCCACTGTTCTACCGTGTCCAGCTGCCCCCTCGGGCGCCCTGTCAGGCCTGTACCTCCCCTCGTTCTCGACGAACTTGGTGAGTGGTGCTGCCCTACAGGATGCGGGGGTTCACCAGTTTACTCCTGCGAGTCAGCGGGTGACCCACTGCACGGACGCGCGCACAGGTCGGCACCTGGCCACGTTCTCCCGTCGGCCGGGGTCGAGCCTTTACACCCTGACCACTGAGACTCCTCCTGTCCCTGCGTCTGGCCGAGTAGCTGCGTCGGGTCAAGTGTTTGCTGCTGCGTCCACGTCTGCTCCTGAGTCTGCCCCCTGCTCGTGTCGCCTCCTGTCTCATGAGACTCTCCTGTGGCACCACCGTCTTGGCCACCTCTCCTTGTCTCGTCTCAGGGACTTGGCTGCCCGTGTCCTTGTCTCTGGTCTTCCCCGGTCTCTCCCTCCCCTTCCTTCGGGGCCAGGACCTTCCTGTGTCCCTTGTGTCGAGGGGCGCCTCCGGGCTGCCCCCCACTCCTCCCAGTTTCCTCCGACAGAGGCTCCTCTGCAGACGCTTCACATGGACATGTGGGGCCCGGCCCGCGTCCGTGGACAGGGTCACGAGCGCTACTTTCTGCTGGTGGTTGACGACTACTCGCGTTTCACCACAGTCTTCCCCTTGCGCAGCAAGGGTGATGTCACTGAGGTGTTGATCGACTGGATCCGCGCAGCTCGTCTCCAGCTCAGGAGGAGCTTCGGCTCGGACTTTCCTGTTCTGCGTCTGCACTTTGACCGAGGCGGAGAGTTTTCCTCTGGCCTTCTGCGAGCCTACTGTCGTGCACAGGGCATCCGCCAGACCTTTACACTCCCGGAATCTCCACAGCAAAATGGGATTGCTGAGCGCCGCATTGGCATGGTCATGGACGTCGCCCGTACGTCCATGATGCATGCGGCTGCCCCCCATTTTCTGTGGCCGTTTGCGGTGAGGTACGCGGCGCATCAGATCAACCTTCACCCCGGGGTTTCCCGGCCGGGGAAGGTCCGTACCTCCCCGGCCCTCCTGTGGACTGGGAAGGTCGGCAATGCGTCTGCGTTCCGTGTCTGGGGATCTCGGGCGTTTGTCAGCGACTTGTCTGCGGACAAGCTGTCCCCCCGTGCTTCTCCCTGTGTCTTCCTTGGCTTCCCCATAGACGCTCCCGGGTGGCAGTTCTACCACCCCTCCTCTCGTAGTGTTCTGTCCTCCCAGGACGTCACGTTTGACGAGTCGGTCCCCTTCTACCGCCTCTTCCCCTACCGCACTCCTTCCCTCCCCCCGCCACCCGAATTCCTTGTGCCAGGTCCCCCCCCGGTAGACCCCCTCCCCCCCCCCCCTCAGGTTCATGCCCCTTCAGGTGTGTCCCAGGTAGACGCCGTCGAGCCGGTCGAGGTTGATGGTGACTCTGGTCCTGTTGAGGGTGCTGAGCCTGGGGGTGCTGACTCTGGGGGTGCTGTGCGCGTGGGTGGTGAGCCTGGGGGTGTTGAGCCTGGGGGTGCTGAGCGTGGGGGTGCTGTGCGCGTGGGTGCTGAGCCTGGGGGTGACGAGCCTGGGGGTGCTAAGTCTGGGGGTGACGAGCCTGCGGTTGCTGAGTCTGGGGGTGCTACGCCGGAAGGTACTGAGCCTGGAGGTGCTGCGTCTGGAGCTGCTGAGCCGGGAGGCGCGGAGCCCACGGCCACTGTTCCTCCCCTTGTGGCGTCTAGCGGTGCTGGGCCTGGAGTTTCTCCGGGTGCTCCGTCTTGCCGGGCGCCCCTCTCTCCACAGGAGCTGCGCGAGTGGTTTGCCCGCCGCTGGAGGCGTACTGCTGGAGCTGGAGCTTCCTCGACCGCTGAGGGTGCTGGTGTCGCCGGTCCTGGAGCTGCTGAGCCTTCGGGTCCTCCTGGAGCTGGAGCTGCTGAGGGTGTTGGTGCTGAGCGTGCTGCTGTCTGTCCTAGAGGTGGTCCTGCCGCTGGAGGTGCTGTTGGCGCTGGTGCTGCCGCTGAGGGTTCTGGTGCTGTCCCTGATGTGCCTGGAGTTCCCGCGCGGCCTAGGCCGTACTTCGTTCCGCTCCTGCAGCAGGTTCTTGGTCTTCCTCCTTGTGTAGAGTGTGCGCCGTCTGTCCAGTCGCCGTCACTGTTAGAGCCGGCCTCCCCACTGCCTGCTCCCTCTCCTTACACTGGTCCTACTGGAGGTCTTGCTGAGTGTCGTGAGCTTGCGTCTCGTCCCGCGTCGCCTGTACGTGCTGCTCGCGCTAGTGGTCGCAGTTCGCGTCAGCGTCCTCCTCCTGTCCTTGGTACGCACCGGATGTCTTTGTGTCCGTCCACTGCTCCTCTGCGTGCCTCTTTGCCTTCTCCTCTTGAGTCCTCTCTTCCTGCACTTTCCGACCCGGAGTCGGACTCTCTTCGCGCTGCCAGTCCCACTATCACGCGTCTTCTTGCTACTGTTGTCACTGACCCCTCTTTCGAGTCCACTGCTGCGTCTGCTCTTGTCGCTGAGCTCGTCGACTTTGCTGCTCGATGTCGTCTAGACTACGCTGCTAGTCTTGTTGCTGAGTCTGCGTCTGTTTGTCCTCCGTCCGTCGGGGGTGAGTGTGCTCTTGGCACGGACGTCCTTGAGGATAGGCAGGAGGAGTTCTAGTGTCTGGCTGCTGCTTCACCTCATCTCGCGTCTGTACTACTTGCCCCTCAGGGAGACCCGGATGCACTAGACATCCCGACTCCGCGTTCTTACGCGGAGGCAGTAGAGGGTCCCTAGTCCTCTCAGTGGCAGGCAGCTATGGATGCAGAGATGGCTTCCTGGAAGTCCACAGGCACCTACGTTGACGCGGTTCCCCCTCCTGGGGCGAACATCGTCAGTGGCATGTGGATCTTCAGGGTGAAGCGGCTGCCGGGCTCTCCACCTGTCTTCAAGGCGCGGTACGTCGCTCGTGGCTTCAGTCAGCGGCAGGGAGTTGACTACTTTCATACCTTCTCTCCCACCCCGAAGATGACCACTCTTCGGGTGCTGCTACACATAGCCGCTCAGCGCAACTACGAGCTTCACTCTCTTCACTTTTGCACTGCTTTCTTGCAGGGTAGCCTGCACGAGGAGATTTGGCTGCGCCGTCCACCAGGCTTCACTGGGACTTTCCCTCCTGGCACCCAGTGGAGCCTCCGATGGCCAGTCTACGGTCTCCGCCAGGCAACGCGTGAGTGGGACGACACACTGAGGACTACGCTTGCGGCTCTTGGGTTTGCTCCCACTATTGCTGACCCGTCGTTGTTTCTGCGCACCGACACCTCTCTGCCGCCGTTCTACATCCTCGTGTACGTCGACGACTTGGTCTTTGCCACTGCTGACACTGCTGGACTCGCCTACGTGAAGTCCGAGCTGCAGAAGAGACACACGTGCACAAACCTGGGTGAACTGCGTAGCTACCTTGGCTTGCAGATCACCCAGGACAGAGCACGCCGCACCATTACCTTGACTTGGTCACACATGGTGCAGCAGGTCCTTCAGCGCTTCGGCTTCAATTACTCCTCGCCTCAGGCCACTCCTCTGCCTACTCGCCACTCGCTCTCAGCTCTGCCTTCGGATGAGTCCGTAGAGTCGAGTGGCCCGTACCCGGAGCTTGTTGGCTGCCTCATGTACCTGATGACCTGCACACGACCTGACCTTGCATACCCTCTTAGCATTCTTGCACGCTATGTTGCTCCTGGGAGACACCGACCAGAGCACATGGCTGCAACGAAGAGGGTGTTGCGCTACTTGTGCAGTACGTCGGGCATGGGGCTAGTGCTTGGAGGGCGGAGTCCAGTGGTCCTCACTGGTCACGCGGACGCTTCTTGGGCTGACGACCAGGCTACGCAGCGGTCGTCGCAGGGGTACACCTTCAGTCTTGGTTCTGGCTCTGTCTCGTGGCGGGCTACTCGCTCGTCTTCTGTTCTCGGCTCCAGTTGTGAGGCTGAGATCTACGCCGGGGCCATGGCTGCACAGGAGCTTCGCTGGCTCACCTACGTGCTGACTGACCTTGGAGAGGTGCCTCGTTCTCCTCCAGTGCTGTACGTAGACAACAAGGCCATGCTGGCCTTGTGTCGAGAGCAGCGCTTGGAGCACAGAACGAAGCACATTGCTCTCCGCTACTTCCTGGCTCGTGAGGTGCAGCAGCGTGGTCGGTTGAGACTTGCGTACGTGGCCTCTGAGGCCAACACTGCTGATGTTTTCACCAAGGCACTTCCGCCTTGTGATCATCAGCGCTTCTGCACTCAGCTGGGACTTGTACCTGTCTTACCTCACTTGCTCACCTCTTGACCTTGCTTGTACTCTTGCATATATATATACCTGCTCTTGCTTGTTTAGCCTTATATATATGTGTCTCCTCCTGCATGTGAACTGGCCTTGTGGCCTTGACCTTGTGCTCGGACTGTGTGGTGACTTTGTGATCCACCCTGAGCTTTGCTTTGCTTTGCTTGACTGGTCTTGTGACCCCTTGTTCTCCCCCAATTTGCCTATGGGGGTGTGTCAGAACATTATAGCTTACTTGTTTGTGTAGGCTATAGTGGGCTATCCCATAGGGGGTACAACCCAATTAGGGTTTCCTATTTGTACTCACTTCGTTCATAGTAATTTCATTCACGTTTCTATTTTCACAGCTCACGACCATACCCATCCGTGGTCCTCGTAATGGTCGCTCATTCTGCCTGCCATTCTGTGTGCGTTCCATCCGTAAGCTGGCACTTAGTTTTTTTTTACCATTGACTTGACGGCTGGCACTTAGATTTTTTCTTGACACGTAACGTCGGCGTCGTCAGAGTAGGCAGACGTGGTCGCCAACGTCTCGTAGGATTGTCTGCTGTGCCGACCTGCCTGATACCGCCGACATAGAATATGCATGTACTAGTTTATCGACCTCACCACGCTGACTTCCCATCGCTTGACCCTAGGTTGCCGTATCATGGCCAGAGGACAGCCTCGATCGACACCGCCGCAAACCAACCCACCGCCCGCCGATGTCGACATGACGGACGTTCCGAACCCCGCTAGCCAGGGTGAGGATGTCCGCCCGGTAGAACGTACACCGACCAGTAAGCCCTCGTCGACTTTGCCGCTGCTTTACGATCTCGACGCCCTGGCCCAAATCCCGCAGGGAGAGTTCACCAAGGACGTTCCGCCCGCGCCCATAGGGGAGTTCATGAAACCACGCAAATCGTCGACGCCGACGGATGCAAGGGAGGTCGGGCCGTTGTCTGAGCCGGACGGATCGGGCGACTAGGATGAGGAAGATTATTCATCGGCGAGCGACGAGGACGACGAAGACAACCGGCGGCCGCGACGTGGTGTAGGTCCACGCACGTTGGAAGAAAAACTCAGGGGGGAACGTGCGTTCATAGAGGAACTGTTGGATGAGGACGAGCTTGAGGATCTGTTGCACATGTCGATCCCTCGAGAAATGTGGAAGGCGGCCGACTTCGTAGAGGAAGATATGGTGTACGCGTGCGTCGACGTGCTTGTGATGGAGGCAATGCGCCACCTGAAAACCATAGAGGCCAAGAGCACGCTCAAGTCCTACACCTCATGGATATACGACTACAAAAGGTGGGCGGCGAAGATGCTTAAAAAAATAGGCGACAAACTGCCGACAGCAGAACAAACGAGGCACGTCGACGAGATAGGGCACTGGACACACAACAACAAGAGCAAGGATTGGGACAACGAGAAGGTGGTCAAGCGGAAGCACATATGGCTGCACGGCCCCAGGGTCACTAGTACGCGGCTGCGCGCCTACATCAAGTACATGAGGCGGGAGTACAAGATCGACGTCGAAACGAACGCGCCAGTGCAAGCCTACTCGGTGCACATGATCCTCGGCCGCATCAAGGCCTGCCAAATGGCGGCGAGGGTGGAGGCGACACTCTACAAGGAGAAGGAGTTGGGCATCATGCGGGAAATCTCGGTGGTCTGGTCGGAGGTGCGGGTCATGGTCCGCACCAAAAATGAGAGGGACATCAAGTAAGTTGGCATGCATCGACGTGTTATGTCGCCATCGATTTGTGTTCCTCGCCCTAATATTCATATCCCTATATTGTTATGTCGACAGTAATTGCGCCGACCGTCGCCGCGGCACCATCGGCGACACATACACCACCGAACAGTTCCGCCAGATCATGACGAGGGTGCTGCCGGCTTGGGCGGCGTCGGCATGGAGCCCGCATTTCACCACACCTTCGTAGACGCTGTGGAGGTTTCTTCTCGTCAAGGTGCTCATGCTGCTCTCCCACCACAGCCTCATGCGCGGTGCAAGCATCCGCGAGATAACGCTCCCCGACATCTTCCTGTACCGACTGGCGAGCACCTCGTCGGTGAACCCGGATAACCAGCCGGTCGTCATGGTGGTCGCCGCGCGGAACTCGAAGACGTCGAAGGATGCGCGTCTTCAACAGAGCTACGCGGTGCGGCACCTCGAAGCGGAGTTGTGCGCCGTCGGCGAGACCGGGCTGTGGTTACACTTCGTCCTCGACCAGATCGGCCAGTTTCACGGCGTCGACCTCATTCCGCCGGTCGACACCAGCACACGCGAGCTCTGGTACAAGAAGCACCTGTTCTTCGCCCGCAACGACCCCAAGCAGGGCGAACTCTCAGCTCCCAGCCACCAGCGATGGACGAGGCAGATGTGGAAGACGAACGGGGTGTTTTGCAGGCGGAACGTCCATGCCGCTCGGGCAGGCGGGGCGCAGGAGTTGGCCATCCACGGTACGCCTCGCGCCGAGATAGCCGAGCTGGGTCACTGGGCTCTTGACAAGATGACTCGAGCCTAAATCACAGCCATTCCCGTCGGCGTGGTGATGAAGAAGGCCGGCTATTCGGGATTCACGCAGGACTACTTCTTGGGTCGCAGCAGGGTGGAACCGGGAGACGAACTCCTCGCTCTCATCGCCGAGCACATCTTCCCCGGCGTCGACGACCTCCTCAAGAAGGTATGTTTATCGGTGCCGACCAAGCTTGCATGGTACTTTCCTATCCACCACGGCAATAACCCACGTCTGATGTCTAACGGCAGGCAGAAGAACTCGCGAAGAAGGGGTCCAACGCCGACATTGCGGCGGTGCATTTCTGGCGCACCCTTGTGATGTTCCGCCGCATTGTCGCCGAGGACCTCGCGGTGAAACTCGTCCGCACCCCTTGGCACCCGTACGTCCAGTATTCCAAGCTCTGCCGAATTCCCCTCTTCCAGCACTAGGCGAAGAGGGTCGAGAAGACCGACACCGACACCATCAGAAAGCGGCAAGATCCAACCCTCATCCAGCCAGAGGTAGGTCATCCTTTATGTCGACGTCGCGATGTGATCTATGACCGCTACAACCCCTCATCTGCACCGTTATTTGCCTACCATTGCAGGAGATATCGGTCCGCCATGACGCCCAGTACGCGGTCGTCTCCCTCACGGAGACGCTTAAGCTCGAGAGGGAGCGGTCAACGGTCCATAAGCTCGACCTCGAGGAGAAGATCGAGAATCGCGACGCAACCATCGCGTCGCTCGCGGCCGAGATAACCTGCCTCACCGAGGCTCTCCGCGTTTCAGAAGCTCGAAGGATGCCGGAGGCGCCGCCAGCTGCGAACGACCAGTCGCCGAGCGACGGTGGCTCCGCGGAGTCGGCAAGCAGGGGTGAAGGAGCCAACAAACCCAATAAACCCCCACAGACGGTCGAGGAGGCTAGCTACAAGCTGAACGTAGTGCAGCCTTGGCGGACTGCAACGACCATCAAGGACGCGTGGCGCCTCTGGACCTCGTGCACCAGCGCCAACACACGTCGTCTGTGCAACAGGTTCAGGGAGCCAGGATTCGTCGACCACCACACCCTCCTCGACGGAGCCTCGCAGGGAGCACACGGGAAGAGGGTGCGCCGCATGATGAAGGTCATCGATGCGGTGCGCCAGCTTCGCAGGAGCGACGGCGAAGTCGACACGGAAGCCACCGTCGACGCGCTTAACAAGATAGCGGCGCCTGGCATTGGGACCTTCGAGGATGCCCTCATGGTGCTCAACGCGGACGCCGTAGCGACCTATGCCGGGCAGGGTAAGGGCGTCAAAGAGCTTGGCAAGAAGGAAGTTTCCAAGCTTCGTGTCGCCTGTGCGTTCGTGGCGCGAGGGTTCAAGCCCGAAACGTGGGTCGCCGACCTGTTCCCGGACACCTGGGTTGAGCAGATGAAGAAGATGTCAGAACATTATAGCTTATGCTGTTGTGTAGGCTATAGTGGGGTATCCCATAGGGGGTACAAGCCAATTAGGGTTAGTACTTGTACCTACTTCATTCATAGTTCATTCATTCTCGTTTCTTCTCATGGTATCAGAGCAGGTTCCCTAGCGGGAACGATTCCTAGGGCCCACCACTACGAGTTTTTTTTTTTCTGCCCGGAGCGCACTCCGCTTAGGCCCGAGTCGCGCCCCGGGCCCTTTCCCTTCTGTCGCGCCGCCCGGTGCGGCCCGTGGTGGGACAGCTGCCTGCCTTAGGACAGGCAGGAGAAGTTCCAGTGTCTGGCAGCTGCTTCACCTCATCTCATGTCCGTACTGCTTACCCCTGAGGGAGACCCAGATGCACTTGACATCCCGACTCCGCGCTCTTACGCGGAGGCGATAGAGGGTCCCTACTCCTCTTAGTGGCAGGCAGCTATGGATGCAGAGATGGCTTCCTGGAAGTCCACAGGCACCTACGTTGACGCTGTCCCCCCTCGTGGGGCGAACATCGTCAGTGGCATGTGGATCTTCAGGGTGAAGCGGCCGCCGGGTTCTCCGCCTGTCTTCAAGGCGCGTTACGTGGCTCGTGGCTTCAGTCAGCGGCACGGAGTTGCCTACTTTCAGACCTTCTCCCCCACCCCGAAGATGAGCACTCTTCGGGTTCTGCTGCACGTTGCTGCTCACCGTGACTACGAGCTGCACTCTCTCGACTTCAGCACAACTTTCTTGCAGGGCAGCCTGCACGAGGAGATCTGGCTGCGCCGCCCACCTGGCTTCACTGGGTCTTTCCCTCCTGGTACCAGTGGAGTCTCCGGCGTCCAGTCTACGGTCTCCGCCAGGCGCCACGTGAGTGGCACGACACACTGAGGACTACGCTCGTGGCTCTTGGGTTTGCTCCTTCTACTGCCGACCCGTCGCTGTTTCTGCACACCGACACCTCTCTGCTGCCGTTCTACATCCTCGTGTACGTCGACGACTTGGTCTTTGCCACAGCTGACACTGCTGGACTCGCCTACGTGAAGTCCGAGCTGTAGAAGAGACACACGTGCACTGACCTGGGTGAACTGCGCAGCTACCTTGGCTTGCAGATCACCCGGGACAGAGCACGCCGCACCATTACCCTGACTCAGTCACACATGGTGCAGCAGGTCCTTCAGCGCTTCGGCTTCACGTACTCCTCGCCTCAGGCCACTCCTCTGCCCACTCGCCACTCACTCTCAGCTCTGCCTTCGGATGAGTCCGTAGAGTCGAGTGGCCCGTATCCAGAGCTTGTTGGCTGCCTCATGTATCTGATGACCTGCACACGACCTGACCTTGCATACCCTCTTAGCATTCTTGCACGCTATGTTGCTCTTGGGAGACACCGACCAGAGCACATGGCTGCAGCGAAGAGGGTGTTGCGCTACTTGTGCAGTACGTCGGGCATGGGGCTACTGCTTGGAGGGCGGAGTCCAGTGGTCCTCACTGGGCACGCGGACGCTTCTTGGGCTGACGACCAGGCTACGCAGCGGTCGTCACAGGGTTACATCTTCAGCCTTGGTTCCGGCTCTGTTTCGTGGCGGGCTACTCGCTCGTCTTCTGTTCTCGGCTCTAGTTGTGAGGCTGAGATCTACGCCGGGGCCATGGCTGCACAGGAGCTTCGCTGGCTCACCTACCTGTCAGAACATTATAGCTTACTTGTTTATGTAGGCTATAGTGGGGTATCCCATAGGGGGTACAACCCAATTAGGGTTTCCTATTTGTACTCACTTCGTTCATAGTCATTTCATTCTCGTTCTTTCTTTCACATGGTATCAGAGCAGGTTCCCTCCTAGGGACTGCTTCTAGGGCCACCAAAGCGCGCCCCGAGGCGCGTTTTCCTTTTTTTTTAGCGACCCTTCGTGTCGCCCCTAGCGGCCCGTCGCGCCGCCCTTCCCTTCGCGGCCCCGCCGCCCTTCGATCGCGGCCCCGCCGCCCTTCGATCGCGGCTCCGCCGCCCTTCCTTAGCGGCCCCACCGCCCTTTGATCGCTGGCCCGCCGCCCTCTGCTACGCGGCCCCGCCGCCCTCTGCTAAGCGGCCCCACCGCCCTTCCTTCGCGGCCCCGCCGCTTTACTCACGCGGCCCCGCCGCCCTCTGCTACGAGGCCCCGCCGCCCTCTGCTCAGCGGCCCCGCCGCTTTGCTCACGCGGCCCCGCCGCCCTCTGCTACGCGGCCCCGCCGCCCTCTGCTACGCGGCCCCGCCGCCCTCTGCTAAGCGGCCCCGCCGCTTTGCTCACGCGGCCCCGCCGCCCTCTGCTACGCGGCCCCGCCGCCCTCTACTACGCGGCCCCGCCGCCCTCTGCTACGCGGCCCCGCCGCCCTCTGCTAAGCGGCCCCGCCGCCCTCTTCTAAGCGGCCCCGCCGCCCTTCCTTCGCGGCCCCGCCGCTCTGCTCTCGCGGCCCCGCCGCCCTCTGCTTAGCGCCTCCGCCGCTCTGCTCCCGCGGCCCCGCCGCCCTCTGCTAAGCGGCCCCGCCGCCCTCCCATAGCGGCCCCATCGCCCTTCCTTTGCGGCCCCGCCGCCCTTCCTGCGCGGCCCCGCCGCCCTCCCTGCGGCCCAGCCGCCGCCCTACCTACACGGACCAGCATCAGCCGAGCCGCCCAGCCGCAGCCGAGCCGCCCAGCATCAGCCGAGCCGCCCAGCCGCAGCCGAGCCGCCCGGCAGAAGCCGAGCCGCCCGGGAACCGCCGAGCAGCCCAGCAGCAGCCGAGCCGCACAGCAGCCGCCGAGCCGCCGGGCAACCTTCCTGGAGCAGCCGAGCCGCCCAGGAGCAGCCGAGCCGCCCAGGAGCAGCCGAGCCGCCCAGGAGCCGCCGAGCCGCCCAGCAGCAGCCGAGCCGCCCGACCTGCCCTGCCCGGTGAGCACCGTACCGCTGTCACTTCGTGCCCTTCCCCTACTGCTTGCACTGCTCCACTGTCGCCGTCATGGCTACCCCCAGTGTCCTCGCTTTTGACATTGAGGGTCGAGCCATTGACTTTGAGGTCTGGGTCGACGACCTGCAGCTGTTCTTACAGTGCGATTGAGCTGACGGCCTTTCCCTCTTTGACCTCACCTCTGGCGCCTCTCCTGCCCCTGCTGCTGATGCTGACCCCACTGTTTGCTCTCAGTGGGCCACCCGCGATGCTGCTGCACGTCTTGCTGTGCATCGCCACTTGCCCACCACTGAGCACGCGCACTTTAGTCAGTACAAGAGTGCTCAGACCTTGTACGATGCTGTAGTTGCGCGCTACTCTTCCCCTGCCACTGCTGCACTGAGCGGCCTCATGCCACCGTACCTCTTTCCTGACCTTGCTGCCTTTCCCACTGTCACTGACCTCATTACGCACCTCCGCACTAGTGATACCCGCTACCGCGCCGCCCTTCCTGCTGAGTTCTGCGCCAAGAACCCCCCCCCCCCCCCATGTACATCGCTCTCTATTTCATAGTCACTCGCCTCCCTGACTCCCTTCGCGTAGTCAGGGACAACTTCCTCTCAGTCTGTCCCACCACCCTCACTGTCAACCTCCTCGAGAAGGCCCTCCTAGCGGCGGAGAAGAGTATCGTCTCTGTAGGAGCCTCTCGTCGAGACCCGCGCACCCCCATCTTTGAGGGGTGGTCTCCTTCCCCCCTGGTGCCCTCTGTTGCCTCTGCTGCTGCTGCTGACCTGCTCGGTCTTGAGTCGGTCGGCGCGGCGTCTGCCCCTAGCGGGAGACGCCGTGGCAAGGGCAAGGGGGGCAAGGGCGCGGGTGGAGCTGGCGGGGGCGGTGGAGGTGGCGGTGGAGGCGGCGGAGGGAGTGGGGGTGGCGGTGGGAGTGGTGGCGGGGGTGGTGGCGGTGGTGGCGGCAGCGGCAGCGGAGGTGGTGGCGGCGGAGGCGGTGGCGGCGGAGGCGGTGGCGGCGGAGGCGGTGGGGGCGGAGGCGGTGGTGGTGGCGGAGGTGGAGGAGGTGATGGCGGGGGAGGTGGAGCTGGTCGGGGTAGTGCCGCGCAGCGGAGCGGCTCTGGTGGTGGTCCGCGGCAGCAGCAGCGTTCTCGGGACATCCCCCCGCCTCAGTAGCTCCGTGAGTGGTACGCGCAGAGTCAGCGTGGTGGAGGTTTTGGCCCGTGCACCTACGTTCTTCGCAGTGGCGACCGCGCGGGTGAGCAGTGTGGGGGTGCCCACGCCACCCGGCGCTGCTTCGGCCGCCTAACGGACGATTGGCGTCAGCAGTTCCCTGACGCCTCTGAGATCCCCCGCTGGTGAGACCTTTCTAGAGCCGGTGTAGCGATCTTTGAGCTAGACTTTGATGTTATCCTTGCTGCCATGTATGCTGTGTCTATTAGTGATGAGGGTGACTGTTACTGGTGTTTCCCGCCCGACCCGGGCATTGGTACGGCTGCGCTAGGTGCCTGTGACACTCCTGCGCTCTCAGGTGCTGGTGCGGCTGCGCTCTCAGGTACTAGTTAGGCTGCGCTCTCAGGTACTGGTGAGACTGCGCTCTCAGGTGCTGGTGAGGCTGCGCTCTCAGGTACTAGTGAGGCTGCGCTCTCAGGTACTGGTGAGGCTGCGCTCTCAGGTACCGCGTCGGCTTCGGCCTCCCTCACCTTTACACTTGACTCTGGGGCTTCTCGCTCCTTCTTTCGGGACCGCACCACACTCACGCCGCTTGGCCGGCCGGTTGCGGTCTCCCTGGCTGACCCCTTTGGGGGTCCTGTCCTCTCTCACTTCTCCACTGTTCTACCGTGTCCAGCTGCCCCCTCGGGCGCCCTGTCAGGCCTGTACCTCCCCTCGTTCTCGACGAACTTGGTGAGTGGTGCTGCCCTACAGAATGCGGGGGTTCACCAGTTTACTCCTGCGAGTCAGCGGGTGACCCACTGCACGGACGCGCGCACAGGTCGGCACCTGGCCACGTTCTCCCGTCGGCCGGGGTCGAGCCTCTACACCCTGACCACTGAGTCTCCTCCTGTCCCTGTGTCCGGCCGGGTAGCTGCGTCTGGTCAGGTGTTTGCTGCTGCGTCCAGGTCTGGTCCTGAGTAAGCCCCCCTGCTCGTGTCGCCTCCTGTCTCACGAGACTCTCCTGTGGCACCACCGTCTTGGCCACCTCTCCTTGTCTCGTCTCAGGGACATGGCTGCTCGTGTCCTTGTCTCTGGTCTTCCCCGGTCTCTTCCTCCCCTTCCTTCGGGGCCAGGACCTTCCTGTGTCCCTTGTGTCGAGGGGCGCCTCCGGGCTGCCCCCCACTCCTCCCAGTGTCCTCCTACAGAGGCTCCTCTGCAGACGCTTCACATGGACGTGTGGGGCCCGG